GTCTCCTGTGCCCGCTCCCAGCTCGCCCTGACGGGCTGTGCCTTCCTCCCTTGGCAGGACTGCTCCTACTTCAACTCCAACGCCGTCCCGCTCAAGCTCTCCTTCCAGAACGTGGATCCCCTGGGGGAAAACATCCGAGTCATCTTCAAGGTGAGCCTGGCACGTGGCACCTTTGGCCATGCCCAGACCCCCGGCACGACCACCCTAATCCCCTGACCCTCATCCCCCACTGCCCCCTGCCTCTAATGTCCCTTCCCCTGCCTCTGATGTCCCTCCCATGGTTCTGATGTCTCTCCCATCTCTGATGTCTCTCCCCCGTCCCTGATGTCCCTCCCCTGGCTTTGATGGCTCTTCCCTGGTTCTGATAAGTCTCTCCTGTCTCTGGTGTCTCTCCCCTGTCTCTGATGTCTCCCCCCTGTCCCTGATGGCTCTCCCCTGCTGGCAGTGTGGCGATGACCTGCGGCAGGACATGCTGACGCTGCAGATGATCCGGATCATGAACAAGATCTGGGTGCAGGAGGGGCTGGACATGCGCATGGTCATCTTCCGCTGCTTCTCCACGGGCCGTGGGCGAGGTGAGCTGGGGTCAGGGCATCCCAGGGGGGCACGTGGGGCTGGTGGTGGCACAGGAGGCCCTGTGGGGACCTGTGATCCACCTTAGGTCTGACCCCACCAGCTCACGTAGGAGCGTGGCTTTGCGGGCTGTCACTCAGTGGTGATGGTTTGGGGGTGCCTGGGTCGGTGGCAGAGTGGGGTTGGGGTCTCAGTGCCCCCCGGGTGGGTTGGAAGGGTCTCACGCTGTGTCCCGGCCGCCAGGCATGGTGGAGATGATCCCCAACGCTGAGACCCTGCGCAAAATCCAGGTGGAGCACGGCGTGACGGGCTCCTTCAAGGACCGGCCGCTGGCAGACTGGCTGCAGAAACACAACCCCGAGGAGGACGAGTATGAGAAGGTGAGGAAGAGCCTGGCAGCGTCCCTGCTTATGTCCCCCCCTCCAGGGATGAGACCCCCTCGCTTCCCACTGCGTCCAGGCTTTCTCCACGCCTGCTCTCTCCTTCCCTCCCTCCCAGGCCGTGGAAAACTTCATTTACTCCTGCGCCGGCTGCTGCGTGGCCACCTACGTGCTGGGGATCTGTGACAGGCACAACGACAACATCATGCTCAAGACCACGGGCCACATGTTCCACATCGACTTCGGCAGGTTCCTGGGCCACGCGCAGATGTTCGGCAACATCAAGAGGTGAGAAAAGCCTCGGGTGCCTCCCTCTGCCCAGGGGGGGTTTGGTGGGTGAATCCTGCTCTCCTCGTCCTGGTGGTGGGTGAAGCCCCCTCTCCTCGTCCTGCTGGTGTGGGATCCCCGTCCGTGCTCACCCTCTGTCCCTCCTCTCCCCCGGCGCAGGGACCGGGCGCCGTTTGTCTTCACCTCGGACATGGCCTATGTCATCAACGGCGGGGACAAGCCCTCCAGCCGCTTCCACGACTTCGTGGACCTGTGCTGCCAGGCCTACAACCTGATCCGCAAGCACACCCACCTCTTCCTCAACCTGCTGGGGCTGGTGAGAGCCGGGGGGCCGCAGCTTCCCCCCCTCCCAGGGGTGCCCCCGCCACCTGCCCTCACCCCTGCCTCCCTCCCAGATGCTGTCCTGTGGCATCCCCGAGCTCTCCGACCTGGAGGACCTCAAGTACGTCTACGATGCCTTGAGGCCACAGGACTCTGATGCCGATGCCACCACCTACTTCACCAGGTAGAGGACAGGGGTGGGCGAAGGGGCAGGATGGAGGGACAGCAGCACCGGCTCCGCGCTGAGCACACCGTGGCCTCGTTGGCAGGTTGATCGAGTCCAGCCTGGGCAGCGTGGCCACCAAGCTCAACTTCTTCATCCACAACCTGGCGCAGATGAAGTTCACGGGCTCGGATGCCCGTCCCACGCTCTCCTTCGCCCCCCGCACACACACCCTCAAGACGTCCGGCCGGATCCGCGACGTCTTCCTGTGCCGCCACGAGAGGGTCTTCAACCCCAGCAAGGGCTACGTGAGTGGGGACAGCTGGGGACAGCTGAAAGGGTGCACTCAGGGCACCCCGGGGTCCCACCTCACAGCCCTGCCTCCCCGCAGACCTACGTGGTGAAGGTGCAGCGGGAGAGCCCGGGCGAGGTGACCTTCGTGCAGCGCACCTTCGAGGAGTTCCAGGAGCTGCACAACAAGCTGCGCCTCCTCTTCCCCTCCTCGCTGCTGCCCAGGTACCCCCGCAGCCCCACAGACCCCCGG